TTTGTCTCTCTGTATATCCGTCTTGATATCTCCGTCTCCACATCTCCCTGTATATCCGTCTTGATATCTCTGTCTTTCTATCTCCGTCTCCACATCTCTCTGTATATCCGTCTTGGTATCTCTGTCTCTCTATCTCCGTCTCCACATCTCCCTGTATATCCGTCGTGGTATCTCTGTCTCTCTGTATATCCGTCTTGGTATCTTTGTCTCTCTGTATTTCCGTCTTGATATCTCCGTCTCCACATCTCCCTGTATATCCGTCTTGATATCTCTGTCTTTCTATCCCCGTCTCCACATCTCTCTGTATATCCGTCTTGGTATCTCTGTCTCTCTGTATATCCGTCTTGATATCTCTGTCTCTCTATCTCCGTCTCCTCATCTCTCTGTATATCCGTCTTGGTATCTCTGTCTATATATATCTCCGTCTCTTCATCTCCCTGTATTTTCTTCTTGGGATCTTAGTTTCTATATATCCGTCTCCTCATATCACTCTTGGTATCTCAATCTCTCTATCTCCGTCTCTTCATCTCCCTGTATACCCGTCTTGGTATCCCCGTTTCTATATCTCAGTCTCTCCGGATTTGTATCCCCATCTTTCCGACTCTCTGCATTTCCGTCTCTCCTACTCTCTGTCTTATTTAATCAAACTTTTTTAAGTGCACGTAACCCGTTAATACACTATAAATTTGATTACGTCAGTAGTTAGTAACAATGCCGTTTTACAACGCAGAAATATGCAAATGATTGACATAGATGCCAGACTAAGGCTTAATATTACTTATCTTCATGTTGATCTTTATGCTAGAACAAAAAAGTCGGTCTAATCTTTTGTCTGTAACGGACACTAAACCGCCTACTGCTCTGGTTCATTATATGGACAGTAATCCAGGAATGAATCGGTTATCTCCCCTGAGCAAAATCTGGTATATCGTTCTTTTTTTAATCAATAGGAAAAAAACAGTATTTGGCATAAACAATCCCAAAACTACTAAAACGCTAGACGTTACAAATCCAGTATTTATCGATGATGGAAAATTAAACTGTGGACGTCGGCCCTGGACGTAGTTAAAACGATCAGAATCTAGGATGTTGAGCACAACGCCCGTACGGCTATTTAAATACCCTTTCCCTCAAATTTAAGTTGCAGTTTCATTACGTGTTCCGGCAATTATAATTAAACAGTTAAGAATCTGTAAAACTTGACTAAAAAATAAAAATAGGATTAATTTGATTTATAATAGATCCAACAGTACTACATATTAGCATTCCTATTCATGATAAACAAAGAGGGAAAGCAGATATAGGGATCAATGGTTACCTTTCCAGACCACATAAACCCCCCGATGACACTTGGTGAGGTATTTAACATCTGACGATGTAAACTGACCGTTCGTATTGTACCTCATTGTTGTTTGTATGAAAAACAGGGAGACAAGAGTTTTGAAGACAGAGAATTTTCATCATCTCATCGTCATTGACATAAGCCTACGTTATAAAGCGTTTAATGGGCACCTTTCCTCTTTTGTTTCATTTGTACATAGTTTACAATGTATGGAGCATTTTACAAAATAATTTTCATTATTTTGAACTTAAGTATGATATGTTTGTTCCCTAAATAAACGAAATAGACTTGGTGTAGTTAAATATTCACCGTTTATGGCTTTCGGTCAAAAAGGTCAATCCTTCGAGCGTATTTCTTGTTCATTAAACTACTGTGCAGAACCAGAAATATTCTTAGATCAAACATAAATATTGTTTTCGTGGAGTATGCTTTACCGTTAAGTTTACATTAAAATGAGCATAAATTTGGTTAAACCATATTTTGTAACTAAATTGAGATTTTCATCTAAAAACTGTTACCTGAAACCGTCCATTTTAAGGCCAGTAGCTGGTGGTTTATTATTAAACACAATAATAGACAGCATCAGGTAAACATTTACTTCATTGTACTTTCATCTTTATATGTACAATAAAAAATAAACGATGACGTCACAACTATGTTTTGAATAATAAACATTCTACTTTTTCACCCTGAATGTGATGAGGATTTCACAATTTGGGTGAAATATTATTCCAAATGGCTGCTGCCAGAGGTCACAAAACAAGGTATTCGACCACATAACAAGGATTTTGTCTGACCGAAATGTACTGATCTTCAAACATACCGTATTTAATATTCCCGCTTTGCCTCCGATAAAACCAGCAACTATAGGCTGCACGAGGCTGAACTATGCTTTGTTTTCTGTTTATTTCAAACATGAACTAAAGTTCTGACTCAGTTAGTTGCGGGTCAAATTGGTGCAGAAATGTGAACATGGCGGCAATATGGTTTTACAATATAATTTACCTGTTTCTTCATTATCATGTAACTATAGCAATGCACACCTAGGTGATTGACATTCCGTACCTGCTGATCTCACGCGCACGGCTAAACTGTCCAGGTAAACAGCCGCATGAGGTGTGATGACCTCCCTGATATCCATTACCGATTATTAACATAAACATGTAATTTTACAAATACAAATATCAACGACTTACTTTCTCATTAAAGATTATATAGAAATTAATTTCCGGTGCTAACAGTGTATTACATACACACTGTTGCATATTTCCGGATAAGAGCGGAATTATGCCATTCTTAACCTACCAATACATATACATATATATAATATATATTAGCTATCGTGATTCTTCCTAATTTGATATAGAATAAAGGACGTGAGAATGACAGTGCGGTTTTTCAAAACAGGCCGTTATGTTGATGCCTACTATAAAACAATGTTCTATATCATTTATTTTTCAACTGATTTAATACTTCATTCAAATATCATCTATATGTGCTTGGCCTGTTTAACCTTGCCATTTCACCAATGAACGAACTATATATTCTCAGCGGTGCTGAGCTCGAAGATAATACATCGTCAATTCAACCAATATCTGGGTATTCAAACTTAAGCTTTTATTGAAACCAACACAAGCAGCCTTGTCCTAAACATGTTACTGCAAATTTAACATTGCTCTAAAATCATTTTCTCAATGTTGTCTTAGCTTTAGGAAACATAATGTCAATTCAGCCTATGTATTTAACGTGCAATTTATATAAAACACAGAACCGACACAAATAACATTGCTTAAAGGTTTCAAAACCGACTTTCGTATCTGTAAGAAAATATACGGAAACAATAAGCATCCCTCCTAACACTACGCACACATTTTAATGTATAAGTATCTTTATAAAAGCTTGCTAGTAAATGTTCTCTTAAGAGCTATTAACGGTTCGTATGTGATTGCTACTACAGGTATAACATGAGGTAATAATAATGATAATAAATAATAATTCGAGGTTTTTAAATACCGCTTTATCACAACCTAGTTTGTAGGTCGTCCCAAAGCGGTTCACAATTATTATCCGTGGTTATAGGGCCTTTGAAACCAGTCAATAGCTTTCTCAACTGCCTGGGTAGCTTACAGCCGGAGCTGCCATTTCGGCGCTAACAGCTAGCATTCAACAAATAGATACAGCATACCGAAAATTATTTACAATGTACCATTTACCTGCTTTGTTCTTCTAGGACTCATCGGTGATGATAGGGGTCAAAAAGTAAAAATCCAAATTTGTTTACAATTCTTTTAGGCGCCTGTGTAAACAACAGAAAAGCAAGGAAAGGATAATCACGGAAGAATAGTATTGAATTTTTGAAATCCTCGATCTATTGACATTTCTGTCGAATATTGTGTGCCATTGCTGAACTTCAGGCTATGCGCACGAATGCCTGGAATATGTTTTAATAATGATGCCAAGGGCGACGGATGCTTTTTTCGCCACTTCGTTGGATTGAAAACGAAATTATTATTTCTTTCATTAATAAAGAAGAATTACCAAGGAATTGACAAATGGGAATAGACAATTATCTTCGAAGGTCACCTTGATGGTTATCAAAATTATAGATTTTGCTGTCTAAAACGCATCATGTAATTATAAGAATGCAGTCATTGAGTAATCAAAATACTAAAGGTGTACGTAGGTCACGAAGGATCGAACTTTGACATCTTGGAGGAAACCCAAACAATCGACATCGGAAAATGGAAACCTGCAAGTACCACAGGATGATGAACGAAAACGTAAAATGCGTCAACGCTTCCTGGTAGCAGAAGACCGTACCTGACCATGTCTGCGCTGCAAAGAATACTGTTGTATATTTGTATATGCAAGGCCAAGATTACAAAACTCTAGCGAAAGCTGATTTAGTGTGTTTCCCCGGTGTAGAATAAACGTTAAGAGAAATATACATAGACAACCAGAAATAGAAAAGAAATGTAAGGAGATGATTTTAAATCTTTTACTTCAGCGCTAGCCTTAAACGATAATTAGCAAAACATGCAACTGGTCAAACTAATTAATATCAATTTATATGTATGACACATTATGAAAAATTAGAACATTATATTTATAATTCTCACAATGTATAAATAAATGGTCTTTTTAAAACTTCATGCCATTTGTTATATCGACTACTGTACTCAGTGAAATTCACAGTGTAAAGTGTTTGCCATCTGGCCTTTCAAACACGCTCTCTATCTTTCTTTTAATTCGTCCAAATATATTTTCAAGTAAATGTCTCTTTATCAACTGTATATTTTGATACCACATGACAGGACCTGTATATTGGGGTACCATTTAGCAGTACTTGTTTATAATGATGGTATGAAAATAAAGCCCTTATTGAAAGGAGAAGAAAAGATTACGATAGGTTCCATTTGGTAAAACACATTCCCACAGAAACTATTCCGTCTTTGCGTATTGCAGAGTTATCTTCTCTTGTGAGCAGGTATTGATTGTTACATCATTGGTTTGTGTAAGAAAATTATGTCGTTTTCTCAAAAATTGATGACGTTACTCTCACAAACGAATGACGTAACAATCGAAACCTGCTCACAAGAGAAGATAACTCTGCAATACGAAAAGACGGAATATGCAAATCAAACATACTAACTCTGACTCCAGTCACATTGTGTTTATTCTGTTCTTGAATACATCATGCACCGTTTAGCACTGTTTTAATTGTCTTGCCATGACGTTCCCAGAATGCATCACTATATAAGGGAGAATGCATGTTTACGAAAGACACCTATCTTCGTGTAGCTCCTCTAGCCGCGCTTCCAGGAACTCGTGAGTAAGGTTGTGTCGAGTAACCATCCCAAGTACCTTAAAAAAGGAAATATTGTTGAGTCAACTTTCACTGTACCGAAAAATAGGGAAAACATTGTCGAATAACCTTCCCCAGTAACGACAATAACAGTTAAAAGTGTCGAATCACTTTCCCCAGTAACGACAATATAGAAAAAAAGTGTCTAGTCATTTTCCCCAGTAGCAACAACATAGGAAAAACGTGTCGAGTCATTGTCCCCAGTAACGACAATTTTGTAAAAACAAAGTGTCGAGTCTTTTTCCCCAATAACGACAATATAGGAACAAGCGTCAAGTCTCCTTTCCATGTACCGCCAAAAAAAAGGAAAAGAGTGTTGAGTCACCTTTCCCTGCTCTGACCAAAAGCAAAATTGTTTCGAGTCACTATCCCCAGTACCTACTAACTTTGATACAGGGGTCAGTGTAATACTTGTGTGACGTCATTGCTATAAATGTGATTGTGGGTAATATGTGTCACACATCAAAACGGAATCTTACCCTGACATTTTTTACAAATTACCCAGATAGCTAAATATACCATCGTTAGTTATTCCCAGTTGTCCGCCTCCACACAAAAAAAACGTTGTATGGAAAAATAGACGTATTTTCGATTTATGATGATTATTTTGCCTTTAAAGAGGTATTTCATTCTTTTGTATGATCATCTCAAGTCCATATACCCCAATTTTAATCTCCTGTTGTTTCCACATTCATAACGGACTTTATTCGACTTGCATCAAAACCTTTTTTAGAGATTTCGACTAGATACATATTATAAAGTTTGTAAGGGTATCCACACCTTCAGAGCAACCGTCTGCTTAGTCGCCATTTACTGGCGAGATTTCTTCGTCATATACACACTTTTTAAAAATGATAGTGATTGTTTTAACACATGTATTTTGAGGTTAACACACGCTTAACATATCTCATCAAGTGGAAACTAGAACATGTTCATTTTACTTTACTTATTTCCCGATATTTTAAAGGTCCAGACAAATTTAGACATTATCACATACGCCTATGGTCATCATTTAAAACGATTTTTGTATTTACGTCAATTTTGAACTTTCCACATCAGATGTGAAGCCAAGATATGGATATGTGTGGATTAGTACCGTGTTGTCGGGGACCTGTCTTGTAGAGTCTTTTGCTTCTAGTGATAAAAATGAGGATGAAATACATTTCTCCATCCCACATCGCTTCACATGAATGATTATTTTAGTCATTGAATGAAGGGCTGGCTGTCCGTATCACTTTCAGTGGTGGACACATCAGATCTAGTCTGATTGCTTAGTAATTAACATAGAACGCGCCTTCGGCGTTATCTATTGACAGTGATAGATGCCCCAATAATGCTGGCATATTAGCCAAGTCAAGTCCAGAGTCTTAGTAATGAAAGGTTCCGTGTCAACTAACAATGAACGAATTTGGCTGATCACAAAATTTGTAACACGATGACACGGAGGAGAATCCATAACCTTACAGCCCGAGCCTCACATCCTTCGTCGGCTATGTCCTACAGAGGGGAAGATAAAAACACGTACTACAACACCAACTGGCCCATGGGGCCTTTCCGCTACATAATTAAACAACCTAGAGGTACTTATTAAAGCAATATGATAGCAACAATACACATAAACATATTCTTAACCCCATCACTGCAAATGTTAAAAACGCTTGAATAATAAAAAAAATACCATGTTAAACCTTGTCACAGAAATTACAATTAATCCTTTAATGATCAAAATATATAATATTTTGCCTTTCCCAAGAAGTACAAGATATCTTTCAATGATAATTATATATAGATCATTTTACCTTGTCAAAAGGGACACAAGAAATCTTTTAATGATGAACATATATTAAATTTTACCTTGTCACAATATGCACACACCAAATCGTTTAATAATGAAAAATTGTTTTGTGAAAACAAAACAAACAAAAATTAAGTTAATCAAAAGAAATCATTCAATTTCTTCACCAAAAACAATTGTTAGAAACATACAATGAAAAAAGAAGATTTTGTAGACAGCCAGAGTCATCAGAAAATACCCTAATGATGTTCGAAACCATTTAAATGTAGAAGATGTATTTATACCACGAAATCTCTTCATAAAAAAAAGCTAAAACTAATGCTTGTCACTAAAAGTCACGTGATCATACGTTTGTGATACAAAAAACAACAAAAGAATACCAAAGTGTAAACAAAATCGGAAAAGTCAACATCGATAATACTTCGGTAGCGTGCTTCACTTCATCGACGACACCCGCCATATAAATCTATGTCAAGAGCAAGTAATGGCACGTCCTCGTAGCGAGAACTGGGGCAGTAGCCGGACAGTATGTATGCCTTGCTTAAATCCAAGTGTCACGCGCTATATCCTGACAGCTAGACAGCACTGAAACCCGAAACTAACTTCCGCCCAACCGCAATGTACTGAGAGCGTCATATTTCTGTTGACACACTGTCGTCTACGTGATTTAATCAAAGCCGGAAATAACTTTTGGTTATCTTCCGTCCACGCGCTATGTACTGAGAGCGGGACAGTACTGATAGTTATCCTCCGTCCGCGCGTCCACGCGCTATGTACTGAGAGCGGGACACGCGCTATGCACTGATCATGAGAGTGGGACAGTACTGGTAGTTATCCTCCGTCCACGCGCTATGTACTGAGAGCGGGACACGCGCTATGCACTGATCATGAGAGCGGGACAGTACTGGTAGTTATCTTCCGTCCACGCGCTACGTACTGAGAGCCGAACAGAACGGTTGTCTCCCATCCGTCCTCGCTCTGTATGCTGAGAGCTTGACAGTATTATTATAAAAAGCCAGCTTCTGTTCATTCGCTTTGTACGTATATCAGAGAAACCATGTGACTTAAATCAAATATGGCAACGACGGAAAAATACGGCTTAGTATACCTGCAATGCTTACCAACAAAACTTGAAACGTACTTTTCTATAAAGATTTAGGTTTATTTTTGCGAACATGATATGAAATCTAGCCGTGTTGTGTTTCATTTACCTGTCCTTCATGGCTAACGACGGGTAGATGTCGGAGTCCCATGCTTCTGAACAGGTTGAACACTTGAGGCACTGGTGTCGTGGGATACACGGTATATGGACAAGGGTTCATATAAGGTACCACGTCCTGTAACCATAGTGAAAGCAAACAGGTATTAACATGCATGTGTTTACTGGTGAGAAATAAAGTCTTGGTAACTCTCTGTTATCCCTTCTATAGGGCAGTAGATTACTTTTATTGAATTAATCACTCATGTTTTTATCAGACATATTACATTTGCATTTCGCCTTGTTTGTATCATTGATTTTCTTTCAGCCTATCGAATGAAAAGATTCTCGGAGGGTTCGTCCGTTTACACCATTGTTTTGACGACAAACACACAAATCCACATAAGTTGTTTCAAACAATCTTTTATTTTGATTATCAATATTTACGTTTTAAAGACATAATGAATTAACGCTGATTATTTTCTGACTACTGTGTAACAGTGTTCTGTACAGCTGTACGTTGGATATATTATTTTATTTGACAATGCAATGTACCGGTAGCGTCAATGTTTACATGTTAAAAGTGTATTTGCAGAGTCGTCACTGAAATAATGAAGAAACTATGTTTTTGCTCCAGAATGACAGCATTCTTCTATTTATGACTACAAACAACCTAACGCAAGCATCCTTTTCTGTGATGATGTCTAACTGTAAACGCCAATAACGTATTCTTACTGGTCTAACTAGATAATCATATTTCATTTAGAATACTTATAAGATTGGTTTCCATGACAACTCGATTAGTGAACTAACATAAGTTCAGGATCCTCGTTCCACTGTCATAAACTTTTACTATGTATTGGGAACATTTTTTTCACGCAAGACTATAGCTTTCAGATTCGTTTCTGAAAAAGTATATCATTCCTTGCAGAATTTTTATGAAAAACAAGAAATCAGAAATAAACAAAAAGTATTCACCGACAGTGTTCTACGTGCAAAAACAAAGCTTGGCCACACCAGGATTTCTACCCTGAAACAGGACTGATATACTGTCGCTCTCATAGACAGAGCTACCTGACCAAACAGGAGAGCCTTGACCCAATTGCGCTACAGTTACCTCTAAACAAATGACGGGGTAGCTATTGCCTATACGAAATAATATCAAGTAGTTTTGCCTACAGTTGTGCAGGGATCCTTCAGTTTTGTAACAATCAGTGGGACACGGATCCTTAAGTTTTGTAACAATCAGTGGGACACGGATCCTTAAGTTTTGAAACAATTAGTGAGACAGAGATTCTTCAGTTTTGTAACAATCAGTGGGACACGGATCCTTAAGTTTTGTAACAATCAGTGGGACACGGATCCTTAAGTTTTGAAACAATCAGTGGGACAGAGATCCTTCAGTTTTCTAACAATCAGTGGGACACGGATCCTTAAGTTTTGTAACAATCAGTGGGACACGGATCCTTAAGTTTTTTAATAATCAGTTGGGACACGGATCCTAAGTTTTGTAACAATCAGTGGGGCACGGATCCTTAAGTTTTGTAACAATCAGTGGGACACTTATCCTTAAGTTTTGTAACAATCAGTTGGGACAGGGATCCTTAAGTTTTGTAACAATCAGTGGGGCACGGATCCTTAAGTTTTGTAACAATCAGTGGGACAGAGATCCTTAGTTTTGTAACAATCAGTGGGACACGGATTCTTCCGTTTTGTAACAATCAGTGGGACACGGTTCCTTAAGTTTTGTAGCAATCAATGGGACAGAGATCCTTCAGTTTTGTAACAATCAGTGGGACCCGGATCCTTAGTTTTGAAACAATCAGTGGGACACGGATCCTTAAGTTTTGTAACAATCAGTGGGACCCGGATCCTAAGTTTTGTAACAATCAGTGGGACAGGGATTCTTCCGTTTTGTAACAATCAGTGGGACACGAATCCTTAAGTTTTGTAACAATCAGTGGGAAAAGGGATCCTTCAGTTTTGTAACAATCAGCGGGACAAGGATCCTTAAGTTTTGAAACAAGATCCTTTAGTTTTTTAACAATCAGTGGGACCCGGATCCATAAGTTTTGTAACAATCAGAAGGACACGGATTCTTAATTTTTGTAACAATCAGTTGGGACAGGGATGTTTATGTTTTGTAACAATCAGCGGGACAGGGATCCTTAAGTTCCTGATTTCCTTCTATGACGAAATCAGCATTTAAACAATTTGTCATGCAATACGCATGATTATGCTGTTGCTTGATAAAGGAGACACCTGAATACACATATCCCTGTCAAAGCGTGCCTAAGGAGGCGGCTAAATACACCCAGCACTGGAAATAACCCACGAATCTCGGTCGTTGGTCCACAGAACACACCGCCGTACAGACCACGACAACATGAGACGTTCTTAGACTAAAATCCAAATTTCAATTGATAAAATATATATAATATTATTCTAAGGAATTTGTCTTATTTTGGTGAGATAGTTAAAATGTACTCTACGTAAATATGCATGTTACAAAATAAGAAACTCTTACCGATGACATTAAATGGACTGATGTCTTAATTCTGTCCTGACGTTCGGGCAAAAACAACAATTAGCTTGATACAACTGTATGAGTATAAAGATACATTTAAATTGGATATTTTAAATATTGTTAAAAGTACAGTAAGATGTTTCACGAAATGATTGATCTTTTTCTGTTTTTGATATAAGCACTTGCTTTTTGACATTACATGATTTAAGCTATTTTCAAGCACGAGTTCATGTATGAATAGTTTCGTGAATATAGGGCAAGATCAGTCTGGGAATAGACAACAAACATTCCTCAGTCTGGGAATGGACTACAACGATTCCTCAGTCTGGGAATGGAAAACAAAGATTCCTCAGTCTGGGAATGGACAACAAACATTCCTCAGTCTGGGAATGGACAACAAAGATTCTTCAGTCAGGGAATGGACAACAAACATTCCTCAGTCTGGGAATGGACAACAAAAATTACTCAGTCTGGGAATGGACAACAAAGATTCTTCAGTCTGGGAATGAACAACAAAAATTACTCAGTCTGGGAATGGACAACAAAGATTCCTCAGTCTGGGAATGGACAACAAAAATTACTCAGTCTGGGAAAGGACAACAAAAATTACTCAGTCTGGGAATGGACAACAAAGATTCTTCAGTCTGGGAATGGACAACAAAGATTCCTCAGTCTGGGAATGGACAACAAAGATTCTTCAGTCTGGGAATGGACAAAAAACATTCCTCAGTCTGGGAATGGACAACAAAGATTCTTCAGTCTGGGAATCGACAACAAACATTCCTCAGTCTGGGAATGGACAACAAACATTCCTCAGTCTTTCCTCAGTCTGGGAACGAACAACAAAGATTCCTCAAAAAGCGGTTATGGCCATTGATCTAAGAACAAGGTGTGGTTGTGTTGATTAGGATCACACCGGCTGTCAGGAAGTCAGCGCTAACGTCCAGTGTGACGCTACACATAATTAGTATATGATGTAGTAGTTGAGCGTATTGTCCGGTATAACCTAATAACCAATAGACAGCTTCCGCGATGGTCAAGCGGGGAAATACCCTCCAGAGACTGGCAGATGTTACTAGACGTCCCAGCAGTCATATCAAAGAGGATCAAAGGTGTCAAAATGTTGACTAAATGTTCATAGGCGATTCATCATACAAAAAATAGATGGTTTTCATTCATTGCACTAATTCTATTAACATAAGCTGTACAACGAGGAACACTGCTGGCAGTGATATTGGGGTCAAAAGGACAGGACGCGTAACATATTGTAAAAAAGATAAATGAAAAACAGACATGAATCCAATTTCTCAAAGAAAAAAACTTCAGTTTTGAAACTTGCCGTGAACTCTATTTCCTCTTCGTACTTATTTATTGATTTTAATTGATTTTAAGATAGAAATGTTTTTTCCACGTAATAGTTAATTGATCTCACATGTTCTCGAAACTGCTATTTATAGTATCGCAATTCTTATATCTGTGTGTCTATTTCATTGTTCGCAACCAATGTGAATTCCATCAAATAACAAGAAAAAAAATGCATACCGTATTGTTCACTTTCCCGTGTATATATAACAAACTCCTCACGTGTGTTTACTACACTACAAACAAACAATATATATACAACACTACCCGTGTATATATAACAAACTCCTCAAGTGTGTTTACTACACTACAAACAAACAATATATATACACGCTACCCGTGTATATAAAACAAACTGCTCACGTATGTTTACTACACTACAAACAAATAATATATATACACGCTACCCGTGTATATATAACAAACTGCTCACGTATGTTTACTACACTACGAACAAACAATATATATACAACACTACCCGTGTATATATAACAAACTGCTCACGTGTGTTTACTACACTACAAACAAATAATGTCTATACCACACTTTCAACAAACAAATATTTAAATCACACTGTCAACAAACAAATATGTAAATCACACTGTCAACAAACAAATATGTAAATCACACTGTCAACACACAAATATGTAAATCACACTGTCAACACACAAATATGTAAATCACACTGTCAACAAACAAATATGTTAAACACACTGTCAACCAACAAATATGTAAATCACACTGTCAACAAACAAATATTTAAATCACACTGTCAACACACAAATATGTAAATCACATTGTCAACACACAAATATGTAAATCACATTGTCAACACACAAATATGTAAATCACATTGTCAACACACAAATATGTAAATCACATTGTCAACACACAAATATGTAAATCACATTGTCAACACACAAATATGTAAATCACATTGTCAACACACAAATATGTAAATCACATTGTCAACACACAAATATGTAAATCACATTGTCAACACACAAATATGTAAATCACATTGTCAACACACAAATATGTAAATCACATTGTCAACACACAAATATGTAAATCACATTGTCAACACACAAATATGTAAATCACATTGTCAACACACAAATATGTAAATCACATTGTCAACACACAAATATGTAAATCACATTGTCAACACACAAATATGTAAATCACATTGTCAACACACAAATATGTAAATCACATTGTCAACACACAAATATGTAAATCACATTGTCAACACACAAATATGTAAATCACACTGTCAACACACAAATATGTAAATCACACTGTCAACAAACAAATATGTTAAACACACTGTCAACCAACAAATATGTAAATCACACTGTCAACAAACAAATATTTAAATCACACTGTCAACACACAAATATGTAAATCACATTGTCAACACACAAATATGTAAATCACATTGTCAACACACATGCATATTTAATACATTTTCAACATACTCATATATGTATATATACATGTATATGGCACAATGTTGACACACAATGACACAGGATACGTCCCACAAACATTTTACCATTCGAATCTGACAAGTTTACCAAATGACAAACATTTGCATTGCGGATGTTGTCTATAAAAAAGAAAACGCTTACTCGCCCGGAACACGTGATCTTACTCTCTGAGACAATGTTTAACTGTGACTACTCTCTGAAAAACGTTTCACTCTATTCTCATTTCAGACAATATACATTTAAACCATTTACTTTCAACAGTCGAACACTTTCATTTACATCGTACTGTAAACGTAGTATTTCTTGTGGTCATAAAAGTTGAGTTCGTTTATTTCTAAATCGTGATTAAGATGCTAAAACTGTGATATTTGCTATCGCAATTCCCTTTGTAGCGGTACAGGTACAAATGTTATCGTTGTTTAAGAATAAGACCAGATGTTCCCAGAGTATAGGCGTCTTTTGTTTTGTGGACGACAACGGTATCCTTAATGGCTGAACCTTAGTCATTTGAATTTAAAGAATGCACCAGTGTCGTATTAATAAAAAAACAAGAAACACTCACGATAATAATCAAAGACTGACGTTTCTAACACACACAAAAATAGAGATTTTCCGAAAAAGACCAACAAAGGTATTTTCAGCGACGTTCTTACCATTTTAATGCATGACTTGGATGAATGATTACAATTCCATTTTCCTGAATTTTGTTATAAACACCATGGCAGATGTCAGATGTTACCATTCCAGGACGTATCATTTTTACTTTTTTTATGTTATAGTTTTCTTGTTTTCTTTGCAACAATCTCGTATTGCTGAAAACATGACAGTTTATAATAAAACGCCGCACGCAATTCAATAAAAAAAAGCACAAGAGACACCTCCTAAAATAAGACCTCGTTATTAGTTTAACCTTGAACGATAATTCTTGAATCGACATAGTTAATTGTTTTGAAATATACAAAGCTATCATGTTGTCGTTGAAAATTAGTTTTAATATTTACGTTATTAATGGATTGATTCTGTTGAACTCAGTGATAATTTGATTCTATAATCACAGTGTTAGCAAATTTTGTGCAAAATAAAATATTAATCTCTGCTGTACAATGTTACGTATTTTTTCAAACTGCATCTCAACACTTCACACAATAAGGAAAACATTTGTCCTGTAGTGTAAACTATAACGTTTTAACAAGAAGGAATAAAAGTAAGAAATGACGAGATATGGATGTTGTGTTTTTGGGAAGGGGCTTGGTTGGGTTTTTTTCAATCTTTTATTGAGATTTTTTTCATATACAAGATTGCATTTATATTTGAGATGTATTTAAATGATACAATATTTTACGGTCTGCTGGCGTCCTTGTATTTGACTGAGTTATGTTGTTCAGATATTTTTTGTTAACATCCACGGTTACAATCACGATAACAAATGGAACAGACGAAGACTTCATGTTGTACAGTATAACATGACCACGGGCATTTTATCAAAAAAAGGTAATCTAATTTTGGTTTTTATCCGAAGAGAAACACATACTTAAAACTGATGGAAATATAATTAACAAGTAAAACGAAAAAACATCGCTAACAAGGAAACATATTTCACAATTTAATAAAAGATATCGTCCAACTCTATTTAAATGTGAGATATTCGTTGGACAGTCATACTAAACTCTTACACGCCTATAGACTATAAAAAATAATAAACTTTAATAAAAAGGCCTTGAATGACATATAACTTCGCGAAAGTAATTGTTTAGATTGCGTTAATGATCACCGGAGAGGGTAAGCCATGCGGAAACCATCGGTGTCGAAAACAAAACAAAACTACATATGATAATGTATATGTTTATTTTCACACAATTGTGTTTTCGTTTATTATTATTCGCCTATATATTATTTCCTTTATTTCGGGCCAAAAAGACCAGGGTCTTTATCAGCACTTTCACGTGATAGGCCTAACCCTAACCCTAACTTACACTTACACGTGATAACCCTAACCCTAACTATTACTGTGTCATTATTATCTCCTTTCCACACTTAGACAGCTGTAAAATCATTTTTATGAATTAAACCTGTTCATCATTTGTTTGTTTGTTTGTGTTTTACATCCTATGAACAACTATGATCAAGGACGTGCCAGGTTTTGATGGTGGAGGAAAGCCGGAGTTCCCGGAGAAAAACACAGACCTAAGGCCGGTACCTCGCGACTGCCCCACGTAGGCCTCGAACCCGCCACCCAGTGGTAGTAGAATGTCAGACGCTTTAACCACGTGCACTTTGCCACCGCGGCCCTAGGCCTGTTAATCAAATGACAAAATTAACCAAAAGTCATTAATCAAAATGTAAAGGACACATCATTTGTACAGTGAGTATGGTAGTATAAAAAACTTAAATACTTTACCACAAGTTTTGATTGGTTAAGGTTCTGTGATTTGGTGACGTCATAAATGTCTGGATATCGGGGGTAGTCTTCTGTCATCTCCTCATAGCTGAGATTGAATTGGCTGGTCCTCTGAAAATAAGTCATTATAAATGTTAAACGTAATTAGAGGAGACAAAACAGAACAATACTGACAACTCGTGTCATCTACCATTCACGTTTTCAAGGGTTGTTTCAGAATATCTCATTAACTGTATCCGTTAATTACGAAATCATTTTATGACAGAACAGTAACTAAACACGCTTTAGTTTGATCTTATCCAAATAGGTGAGTGTAAAATATTATCACTTTTCATGGCAGTAATGTATATGACATTGGTATAAATACAAAATTATAGTTTCAATACTAGCTTTTAAAGTAAGACGTCACAAACATCCTTTTTTTAAATTATGAGAAAGGCCCAGATAAAATATTCCAGGGATAGCATCATGAATATGATTGAATTTTTCGTTGAAAAGATATCCAGTATAGTGTTGTTTGTAAACATTTTCTTCAGGTTGGTAAGTATGGATTATGAAAAGTTATTTTTTACACATCCAGTTGTCCACAAAATCGATGTCGATTTCGGCTACGCTGTGTTAGGCAGATTCAGCGTAGCCGAAATCGACATCGATTTTGTGGACAACTCGTACGCAGTTTACACCTTTGTGTGCATACGCTTCACTGGTCATTTGTCTGATGAAGGTGACAGTATACATATCGTACTAGTCATCGAAACGTCACATAGGAAATGTATTGGTTGTGTAAAAAAGATCTTTTCATAATCAGTATAATGTTGGCATACTCTTGGTTTAGCCAACTTACTTTTTATCAAAGCGTTCATCAGGAGAGTACAACAAACATCTTGTGAAGTCATTCACTTTCACTATTAAATATGTCAATGATGAGCCGTTTTAAATAACAAAAAAAAGTTTAACCTTGATAATAATATATGCCTTTCTTAAGTTGAAATCAACAACCAATGACATTATCGACTCTCAAGTTGCTAACCTTATGTTTATTTACAACACGACGAGCAGGGACGGCCTACTAATGAACTTTACGGTAAGGGTGATCCTTTTTATTTCCTGTGAACTTTCTCAATGATAGATGTCAAATGATGAGGACAAACTCACAACACGAAGTTTCTAGAGATGTAGGCGGATGAAGAATATGGGCACGTTTGGTGACCACCACCATGATGTCATCGGGAATCTATCTAGTGCGATTTGAGAAGCGATATTCGGATTAGGCTGATAAGTGTTGCTTTGATGACACTCTAGATCTGTTGATATGTTTGGGTTCTTGAAGATAGGTACGGGTTCTCACAGCTGTATTATCTCAAAACGAGGTTCCACAAACAGTCGGTACATGTAACGTTAGGAATGATAAACTAACGGAACGCAATCATTGACAAGGAATGCTATTTAGACATGACATTAACTTGACCCTGACACCAATGGTCATGTTCTCCTGGTACTTAAAAAATTACCATTTAAAGTCTTTCTTTGGATTTTTTTCCCGTCCAAATGTTATCAATTTTGGGATTTGTTGGTTTCTTTTAACTAAAAATATTGAATCCTCTTTCATCTCGAAGTTCATCCAAGGTCCCAACGATTTAATTACGGTACAACAATTTTCATTTTGAATTAAATACAAAACCAAACTCTCATAACTTTGTTACTATTGATAGAATTATTTCGCTGACTTATCCCGGGTAATACAACACACCTTCTATCGTACGTTATATAACGTATGGCTATCGTATATGTCACGTGACTATTGTGTGGCATGTCATGTGATTCGCAAGTTTTGTCATGTTACTTATGAATAAGCAAAGTCATATATACAGGATCTTACATGAGTTTCCATTTCATATGAAATGAAAAACGAGTGTAAGATCCTTTTTATTACATAATCAAGATTTATGGCATTTATTCGTGTAAAAAGACAATTTTCGTGCAAACTTGAAATGTAAAAAGCCGCTATTTTGACTCCAGTGCGTAGATTTAAGTATGTGACGTCATGTACTTGTCTTGAGCGTGACGTCACAATTGAAACAATTGAAACTTATAACCAGTCAAGGGGCTGGTAGGTCATATTGCATTGGTTAATACGCAAAAAAATATGACATGGCATCACCCTATATGATATACGTATAACGTCCGAATAACGTCAATAAAAACAAGACATTATAACGATGTAAAGCCTTACTCACGACTAATGACGATAATTTATCGTTTTATATTTAATGTTAGCCAAGAAAACATGTTTTTCTCCTGTATTTATTCTTGGTAGTTTTGTAAAAATAGAATCAATAATAAATGACGCTGTACCGACTTTTTTGTTTCAAAGTAAAAAAAAAAATGAAAATTTCTAGACTCGTTCAAAAAATGTCTCACATGAAATGCAAAGTTATTAGATACCCGGTGTGTATGTTATAAAACACGCATAAACTAAGTGATGACGCCTTGTGCAGCTCCCACTACAAATGTCATCCCGGAAATAAAGGATCGGGTTAACATGTTCTGTCTGTAGAACATCCTAACATATTTACAGGCTCCGTAGCCTAATTAAGTCAACAAAGTGTGCTAACATTGTCATTTCTTTTTCGGTCGAAATGAAATTTCTTATAATTTGACTTCAATTTGTATTCATTTAGAAGTCAAACTCTATAGGAAGAGCTTTCTGTCTTAATCAACACTCCTCCCTGGTTCGTTGATAATCCCTGGCGTTCTTTAATCACCGTTTACTACCACAGTGAGCTGGAGCGGCCATTTTTTAATTCCCCTCAACAAAAGATTTCCAAATGCCAGCTTTTCGATGAGGGTTATATATAGACCTGGAAGTTTGAAAACACTGATAGTTCAGTGCAAATACATAAGTATAATTGGATTTTCCCTAGTCAGGAATAGACAAATAAATATGTCAACAAACAATTAAAACCGGAACCTATGTAAACAATAAACTTCTTATGTAAAAGCAGCCTTGGGTAGTAGGTAGAACTCTGTATGTACTATCGAAAGAAATTGAGTTTTCAAGCAATTTCAAACATCATACATCCAGACCAATTTATAGAGTGACATATGCCAATAGGTAAGGAGTTTGAAACAATTTCAAGAGTGTGAATATCGAGCACACTCTCGTTACAAACCACAGAGGATATTCTGTAGATCAGTATAAGTGGCAAATATCTGCTTTATTTGATATTGAAAAATATAGTCAATAGTATAAGATAGTCTGTTCTATAAAACTGTTTTACCTGTACGTTTTAGAATATCTTTATACCTTTATGTGCAATTCATTTCTCTCTTACTTAACTACATCAGCATGCAATTGCAATTAGAATTGCTAACAATTTCACAATCTTACAATCTCACAACTTTTAACGGACAACTTACAAGTGGTTATAATTATAATAATAATTCGAGTGGGTTTTTTAATGCTTTATCACAACCTAGTTCGTAGGTCGTCTCAAAGCGGTTTACAAATTAGTATCCGTTGTTATACGGCCTTTGCAACTAGCCAATAACTTTTTCAACTCCCTGGGGAGCATACAGCAGGCGCTTTCAACAATACTTCCACTGCCCAACCACGTACACATTCACAGTTGAGTAGACTGGAACAAGTGGAGTAAAGTATCTTGCTCAAAGATACAACACAGTGCCGTGCCATGACTTGAACCCGCAACCCTTCGGTCACGAGCTCGGCATTCTACCACTAGACTACCGTGCCTCCGCTGCTGGTTGACAGTGTTTGTACAATATATACCATATTTTAGTATTCTTTATACAATCAGTACAAAAAAATACCGCCGCTTCCTTCCTTCTGGTGAATTTCTCAAACATAGCTGTTGTCAACTTCGCTTGAAAACATTGCATTTTGGTATTCAATGATTATAATACTTGTAATAATATTTGTGTCAAAAGTTAAACTTAATATCATCTCCATCACCAAATACACGAACCATTGCTTAAAACTCTGATGAAAGCACCCGAATTATTATCTAAATATACTTCGATGTGTCAAGAACAATTACCTGCAAAGGTAAGGACCATGCACCAGTTTTTATTGATTATTACTGGTATATTGGTACTGTTGTCAAAATCCTGCATAACTTTCCATTGTTAATTCAAACATATTTTTATAATGAATAATAAATAAAAATAATATTAATTCGAGGTTCTTATATACCGCTTTAACACAATCTAGTTCTTAGGTCGTCTTTAAGTGATTACTTTTCTCAACTCCCTGGGGAGCTTACAGCCGTTGCTGCCATATCGGCACTAATGTTGACGATTAGGGGGATTACTTTGTTGAAATGTTTAAATACACAGTGATTGTGTTATAGTGTTTATATACATAGTGATTGTGGTATAATGTTTATTTAAACAGTGAGTGTGGTATAATGTTTATATACACAGTGATTTTGTTATAAGGTTTAAATAAACAGTGATTGTGAAATAATGTTTGTATACACAGTGATTGTGGTATAATGTTTATATACACAGTGATTGTGTTATAATGTTTATATACACAGTGAATGTGGTATAAGGTTTATATAAACAGTGATTGTGGTATAATGTTTATATACACAGTGATTGTGGTATAATATTTATATACACAATGATTGTGGTATAATGTTTGTATACACAGTGATTGTGGTATAATGTTTATATAAACAATGAGTGTGGTATAATGTTTATATACACAGTGATTGTGTTATAATGTTTATATACACAGTGAATGTGGTATATTGTTTGTATACACAGTGATTGTGATATAATGTTTATATAAACAGTGAGGGTGGTATAATATTTATATACACAATGAGTGTGGTATAATGTGTATATACACAATGGGTGTGGTATAATGTGTATATACACAATGAGTGTGGTATAATGTTTGTATACACAGTGATTGTGTTATAATGTTTATATAAACAGTGATTGTGTTCTAATGTTTATATACACAGTGAGTGTGGTATAATGTTTATATACACAATGAGTGTGATATAATGTTTATATACATAGTGATTTTGTTATAATGTTTTTATACACAGTGATTGTGTTATAATGTTTATATACACAGTGATTGTGCTTTTATGCTTACATACACAGTGATTTTGTTATAATGTTTATATACACAGTGATTGTGTTATAATGTTGATATACACAGTGAGTGTGGTATAATGTTTATATATACAGTGAGTGTGGTATAATGTTTTTATACACAAAGATTGTGTTATAATGTTTATATACACAGTGATTGTGGCATAATGTTTATATACATAGTGATTGTGTTATAATGTTTATATACACAGTGAGTGTGGTATAATGTTTGTATACACAGCGGTTGTGTTATAACGTTTATATACACAGTGATTATGTTATAATGTTTATATACACAGTGATTGTGGTATAATGTTTATATACACAGTGAGTGTGGTATAATTTTTGTATACACAGTGATTGTGTTATAATGTTTATATAAACAGTGATTGTGTTATAATGTTTATTTACACAGTGAGTGTGGTATGATGTCTATATCACAATGAGTGTGGTATAATGTTATATACACAGTGATTTTGTTATAATGTTTTTATATACAGTGATTGTGGTATAATGTTTTTATACACAGTGATTGTGTTATAATGTTAATATACACAATTATTGTGTTATAATGTTTATATACACAGTGATTGTGGTATAATGTTGATATACACAGTGAGTGTAGTATAATGTTCATATACACAATTATTGTGTTATAATGTTTATATACACAATGAGTGTGGTATAATATTTATATACACAGTGATTGTGGTATAATGTTGATATACATAGTGATTGTGTTATAATGTTTTTATACACAGTGATTGTGGTATAATGTTTATATAAACAGTGATTGTGTTATAATGTTTATATACACAGTGAGTGTGGTATAATGTTTTTATACACATTGAGTGTGGTATAATGTTTATATACACAAAGATTGTGTTATAATGTTAATATACACAATGATTGTGTTATAATGTTTATATACACAGTGATTGTGGTATAATGTTTGTATACACAGTGATTGTGGTATAATGTTTTTATACACAATGAATTTGGTATAATGTTTATATACACAATGAGTGTGGTATAATGTTTATATACACAGTGATTGTGGTATAATGTTTGTATATACAGTGATTGTGGTATAATGTTTATATACACAATGAGTGTGGTATAATGTTTACATACACAGTGATTGTGTTATAATGTTTATATATACATTGACTGTGGTATAATGTTCATATACACGGTGATTGTGGTATAATGTTTACATACACAGTGAGTGTGGTATAATGTTTATATACACAGTAATTGTGTCATAATCTTTATATATACATTGAGTGTGGTATAATGTTTATATACACAGTGAGTGTGGTATAATGTTTATATACACAATGATTATGGTATGATGTTTGTATACACTGTGATCGTGGTATAACGTGTATATACAAAATGATTGTGTCATAATGTTTATATATACATTGATTGTGGTATACTGTTTATATACACAGTGATTGTGGTATAATGTTTACATACACAGTGAGTGTGGTATAATGTTTATATACACAGTAATTGTGTCATAATCTTTATATATACATTGATTGTGGTATAATGTTTATTTACACAGTGAGTGTGGTATAATGTTTATATACAGAATGATTGTGGTATAATGTTTGTATACACTGTGATTGTGGTATAACGTGTATATACAAAATGATAGTGTCATAATGTTTATATATACATTGATTGTGGTATAATGTTTATATACACAGTGAGTGTGGTATAATGTTTATATACACAGTGATTGTGGTATAATGTTTATATACACAGTGATTGTGTTATAATGTTTATATACACAGTGAGTGGGGTATAATGTTTGTATAAACTGTGATTGTGTTATAATGTTTATATACACAGTGATTGTGGTATAATGTTTGTATAGTTATACTGTTTATGTAATCAATCATTATGTTTTAATGTTTATATACATTATAGTTGTGTTATTTTTTTATAATCATTATTATTGTATTATAATGTTGATATAAACATTGCTAGTGTTTCTATATTTACACGTTGATTGTTACAATGTTAAACTCTCCGATGTATTTTGTTTATTTTGATATAATGCCCATGTATTTGTTGCGTCACTGCGCTGTGGAGTGACACCTGCCGCCCAATTGAATTACGATTATTAGTTGCCGAGCAATCACATAGGGGATATGATTAGTCGTGATATGAGAAGAAATCAATGGCTCGGAGGAGGAGCGCTACGTAGACAAGACCTGGCCTCACTAAGGATATACATATATGTTAATATCGGAATTACTAATATCGGACCCCGCGATTTTTCTACCACATCACGTGGTGTAGTGCTTGCATTATAAACGCTCCTATCAAGATCGTCTGCCTTTACAACAGAGATAAGACAGTCTTGAAAACATCAAGCTTTTGTAAGTGGTTTGGAACTTCCACGACGCCATAATGACGGTGATAGTGCTTTTGTTTTGTTCAATCCTTATGTCCAGTGTTTTGCTATCCAACGCGAACTGGTACGGAAAAAGGGGTACGTATATTTGGTTTTGTTATCTGAATGTGTTTGTTTGTTACTAGAAACCAGACCATCTATAAAACTAACTATCAAAAAGAAAATCTCTAGTTTAGATTCATTAAGTGACTTGTATTTGAACAGTTTTAACCTGTTGTATTTTCGGTTTTAAATTTACTTTTCTGTTTAAACGCTTCCTTGCGGGACAAACAGTAGAAGCGACTGATTCTTACTTAACAAACTATCAGGGTGTATTTTGTTTTAGTCTAACTTTAGAAATATGTGATTTTAATCAAAAAAGGTCTATTTTAGTGAATTTTCACATTACAATGTAAATATCATGTCGCTTTTAGTGTATTTTCACATTACATTAACTGTCGGGTCGTTTAAGTGGATTTTCACATTACATTAACTGTCAGGTCGTTTTAGTGAATTTTCACATTGCAAGGTAACTATCATGTCGCTTTTAGTGGATTTTCACATTACAATGTAACTATCATGTCGCTTTTAGTGGATTTTCACATTACATTATCTGTCAGGTCGTTTTAGTGGATTTTCACATTACATTAACTGTCAGGTCGGTTTTAGTGGATTTTCATATCAGGTCGTTACTAGTGGACTTTCACTTAATATCAATGTCAAGCATTTATTGTTGATTAAACTACATGGAGAACTGTTTACTTTAATATACAATGATGTACTGTAAAATGTCTGACGACTTACCGTATGCTGTTAGTTGCGTAGCAAACATTTTATGAGTGAAGATCATATTTAAAGCATAGATCGGATGTTTTTCTAGATGAATTATATATCAGCGTCACAGGAAGACAAACTATTAGAGTTGCAAAGTGAAAAGAATTATCATAAAAACAAGTTCTTCGTTTTAACAGTCCATGGGTTTTTTCTGTCACTCTGTAAGAAGTTCTTTTGGAGAACTTTTCTTTAGAGTTCATAGACCTTTATTTTTTAAACTTATTAGAACCAGTAGAACAAATATCGTTTAGATTTTCAATCACGTGAATACTTCCTACAAAAAAAATATTTGTTCGAGGGCTGTCAGGAAATATATTTAAGATATCGTCGTATGTACGTGTTAGACTATGACAAAATTACACGCAACATGTCATTGAATTTCTTCATGTCGGTCTGTAACTTTTACACGTCTTAAAAGATAGCAGTTGACAGTCCTTTTTCTTCGCACTAAAGAAGGTTTGTATTTCTCACAATTACTAAGGAGAATCTGAGCAAAACTTTCAACCAGTGGAGATGCAATGAGGTGGATATATTTTAATGAAAATTTAAATATTCAGCTGAATCATTACGAATATCAAACTTTCACAATCAACATGTTTATAGTTCGCCAAACATGTATAATTTATCTGATTGTTTATTTCCAATACAATACATTTAAAACAATCAATTACACACATACCGCTGATAATCATGTTATTTGGCGACAAGATATTTAACGGTATTTGAGGACCCCTGTACAGCTGCCCAAAACTGTAACTATAAGTAATGAAAACTGACCATAGCCTTGATGAACAATTCCTGAAACGAAACCCGTATTGTGTGGGTTTTTTTTGGGTTTTTTTAAACAATAAAGATGAAATACACAAAATATAATCAACAAGAGTGCTCTGGGTGTAAAATAAATCAGTGAGACTAGAGCGGCATGTGAATCCCGGACTTAAGATTGTTATACATTATATAAATACGTACTTTGTTTGCTACTGGTCAATGGAAGTGTACATATAAAAAACGGAAGTTGAGGAGATATTACAGTGTCTGAAACGGCAGTAGGACAAGTACTTTATGGATTTACGGAACTTTCGACCAGTCGGAGTCTCATGATCTGTCCCTTATTTTTGAGAAAGAGATGGAAAGTCTTAGTGTTAAAATTAGCATATTTTGTCTCACGGTATGGTTGAAAAATAGTTATACTCAAACTTTTATCAATTGAGAGTGGTGTTTTAATGTATTTTATGCTGTCGGTACACCAGTAGGCTTCAGAGGATAGGCAATGTGTACACAGGTTTTTCCAACCCGGAAGTTTAGGCGAGAAGTTAATCTTCTTGGTTAAAAAATAAAGGGGTCGAGCTAATCATCCGAGTAATAAACAGGAAAATCATATTCTACAGTTAAATCATATAACAAACTTATTCTTTCGAATTAAATATTAAATGGAAAACAAACTTATTCCCAAAGTAATATGGAGAACAAAATTATTTTCTGAGTCAAGTTATCCAATTGATATGGAGAACACACTTATTCTCCAAATTATATGAAAAACAAACTTATTCCCCCAGTAAATGCAGAACGAACTTATTCCCCAAGTAATATGGATATCAAACTTCTTCTCCCACTATATTGAGAACGAACTTATTCCCCACGTAATATGGATATCAAACTTATTCCCCCATTATTGAGAACGAACTTATTCCCCAAGTAATATGGATATCAAACGTATTCCCCTAGTATATTGAGAACGAACTTATTCCCCACGTAATATGGATATCAAACTTATTCCCCCAGTATATTGAGAACGAACTTATTCCCCAAGTAATATGGATATCAAACGTATTCCCCCATTATTGAGAACGAACTTATTCCCCAAGTAATATGGCTATCAAACACATTCCCCTAGTATATGGAGAATGAACTTATCCTCCTAATTATGAGGAGAACAAACGAATTATCCCAGTAATGTGGAGAACAGACCTGTCCTCTCAGTTATGTGGAGAACGAACTATTTCTTCCGAAAAGTAACTGCAACATAGAGAGAAAAAATAATCCCAGGTACATAGAAAAAGAAATAATAATCTGGCAAAATGTACAACTTTGTAATCCTTCCGGTAAAATAGAGAACAATCTAACCTTTTTGTGAACGTCGCTCAGATAATCCTCCGGTAATATACCCCTAGTCCTTCACCACTGGGTCGCTGGTTCGAGACCTACGTGGGGCAGTCCTCAAGTATCTTCCGTAGGTAGGTAATTTTTCTCCAGGTACTGCGGCTTTCCTCCACCACGAAAACCTGGTAGTCCTTAAATGACCATACAAAGCTGTTAACAAACCAAACCGAACCGGTAATGTTGATGCAACGATCCTCCGGTAATGTATATGAGATTATCCTCCGGTAATGGAGATAAGATTATCCTCCTGTAATGGAGATAAGATAATTCTCCAGTAATGTAAATGGGATATTCCTCTGGTAATGTAGATAAGATAATCATCCGGTAATGTAGATGATATTATTCTCCGGTAATGTAGATAAGATCATCCACCGGTTAAGCAGATAAGAAAATCCTCATGTAATGCAGATAAGATAACCCGCCGGTAATGTAAATCAGATGATCCTCTGGTAATGTAGATACGATAAGCATCCGGTAATGTAGAAAAGCTAATCATCCGGTAATGTAAATCAGATGATCCTCTGGTAGTGTAGATAAGATAATCATAATGTAATGCAGATAAGATAACCCGCCGGTAATGTAGATAAGATAATCCTCCGGTAAAGTAGATAAGATAAGCATCCGGTAATATAGATAAGATGATCCTTCTGTAATGTAGATAAGATAATTCTCCATAAATTTTGATAAAATTATCCGTAAGTTATATAGATAAGATTATCCTCCTGAAATGAAGATAAGATAGTCCTCCGGTAATGGAGATAAGATAACCCGCCGGTAATGTAGATAAGATAATCCTCCGGTAAAGTAGATAAGATAATCCTTCGCTTTTGTAGATAATATAATCCTCCGGTAAAGTAGATAAGATAATCATCCGGTAATATAGATAAGATTATCCGTAAGTTATATAGATAAGATCATCCTCCAGTAATGGAGATAAGATAATCCTCCTGTAATGGAGATAAGATTATCCTCCTGTAATGGAGATAAGATAATCCTCCTGTAATGGAGATAAGATAATCCTCCGGTAAGGAAGATAAGATTATCCTATTGTTATGTAGATAAAATTATCCTTCAGAAATGAAGATAAGATCATCCTCCGGTAATGGAGATAAGATAATCCTCCGGTAACGAAGATAAGATTATTCTATTGTTATGTAGATAAAACTATCCTCTAGAAATGAAGATAAGATCATCCTCCGGTAATGGAGATAAGATAAACCTCCGGTAATGGAGATAAGATAAACCTCCGGTAATGGAGATAAGATAAACCTCCGGTAATATTCGAGGCAGATAAGGGAACATGTGAGCGTGTTTTCAAAACTTCTAAACTTCTTACATTGCACTTTTTACTTTCATATTCTGGCGTTATTATAGAATTTCGGATATGTAATTTTATGGTACTAGAAAATGAGCGGTAAAATTAAGTTTTGTGTAACATAGGTTGGTTTATTTGGCGTCCATTATGTAAAACCAGTATAAACATTCCGACAATATCTCTGTCACATATTTAAATACAACTACTTCACAACTCACTCTGACATTTTGTTTTCAATGATAAAACCATATGATGTTATGATGGCAGGGGTCATCTGCGTATTTTGGACTGAAGTAGAACATATGTTAAAATCTCTACAATAACAGTAACATTCGTCAATGGACACATCACAGAGTATATGTATGTGATCTCCTGACCCTGGCGTTAACACCAGTATTTTTGTATTATCCCGTGAGTTAAAATGTCACCTTTCCTCGATTGTAGTAGAAACATTGTTTTACATATGTGAAGGGCTAGTTATGTGCCTGTAGTCAACTGTACAGAAATGCATATGTCAACTTTCGACCCTCTCCGACAATAAATGGTTTCATTGTGGTGGTCGTGATACACTCTTACGTCCATGTTTTGCGTAAAATTTAACATATATCTGTCATTTAATGAGAAGAAATGCATAGGCCAATTCGATTTTAAAAACCGTGTTGAACTTGAAATCGAGGTTATAACTGACAAATAAACATCTTATCCTGATCTTCATCTACAGCATAAAACAGGGACAATCATGAATTTTTCCTTTCTTACCATCACTGCTTTCCCAACCTACGTTCATCAC